CAGTTGTGTCCTGTTTCTTTGTCTCCGCATTTTTTACGCTTTCTTGGTGCACCCCCTAGTGGTCTTTGTGCACAGTCTTGTTGTAGTTAAGCCTTGATTGTTGTAGTTAATACTAGAGGGATTTGACCTCCAGGCCGACTGGCTGTGAGAATCAGCTGTGTCTGCAGTGGGAAAACTTCTGTCCTCTGGAGAGGTGCTAATCTAGCCTTTGCCTGAGGCTATCCGGCAAATGGCTCTGCGCAGGACTGGGGCGGGGCGGGTCGCACGGGATCAACAGGGCGGGCGGAGCGAGCAGTTATGGCTGCTCTCAGTCCCGTTCCCAGAGGCTCTGCTTCTCAGAACCCCAGCAACCACTGCAAACCTCGGAGAGAAAGCTGCCCTCACGTTCTGACCAATGCCAGACAATCCCACTTCTCCCGTTTGAGTCTGAGTCCCTAGAGACTCGCCCGGATCTGGAGCTCAGAGTCTGAGACTCCCTCCCGATTGAAAACGACAACCGCGCCCTCAGCCACCAGCCCGCTCTGCGCGCGCACACCCGTACCTTTGTATTTTCCACACTGCGCCTCCTCTGAGCCTCGGTATGCTGTTCTCTTTCCTTCTAGTTGAAGAATCTCTCCTCAGCCAGCCTTCCTGTGGTTCTGGGTGATGTCTGTTCCGTCTTTTAGTTGTATTTTTGAAGTGGTTGTTCGAGGCAGCAAACTCCGGTGTTTACCTATGCCGCCATCTTGGTTTCCTCTCTCCAGGACACTTTAATTGTTTTTCTAAATTCTTACATTGAATGCTAACTCCTTTATTTTTAATTTATTTCATTTCTTCCCTAATAAAAACATTAACTACAATTTTATTTACTAATAGCTTAATTTTATTCCACAAGCTTTAATAGATTTTATTTTCTTTATTTTTCAGAAAAATCTGTAATATTTTTTATTTCCCTTTTATTTGTTTAGATTTCATGTGTTTTAAATACCCAAGTAGTTCAGGTAGTTGGATATTTTTTAATAGTATTTTATTTTATTAAAAAGTTTAAAAAATATATTTCATACTACAGACTAGATCACGGGTGGGCAAACTTTTTGACTCAAGGGCCACAATGGGTTCTTAAACTGGACCGGAGGGCCGGAACAAAAGCATGGATGGAGTGTTTGTGTGAACTAATATAAATTCAAAGTAAACATCATTACATAAAAGGGTACGGTCTTTTTTTTTTTTTAGTTTTCTTCATTTCAAACGGGCCGGATCCGGCCCATGGGCCGTAGTTTGCCCACGGCTGGACTAGATGCTACCAGAATTTATTTAAAACTTGCTGGTTATTAGCATTAATAGTAACACACTTTTCATACTTTTTTACCCTTTTAATTGAAAATACTAAAAGCTAAGGTTTTGCAGGGTTATTTATTTTTTTGCACAGTACCACTTGTTGCTTATTAATAAAGCTTTTTGATGTCAAGTATGAGAAATTTGAAAAGATATTCTACATTTTTATACTCATAGTATTTATGTCAGATCACAAGATTTTATAGAAGACTTCTTTTACTAAACTCCAAAACAGACCTTTTGGAAAACTTTGCCAAGACAAACATGCTTTTCTTTCTTTCTTTGAATTTCTTAGCTGATGTCCCTCATATCCCTTGTCATTTCACACCTATGTTAGAGGCCTAGTTTTCATCAGTTGATCCTCTTCCCCTTCATACTGAGCTTTGAGAACATTCATAAAAAGACTGTGAAATAGAAGTGATTATTGATGATTTTCCTTCTTGGGCTACCTACTTATTTGATATTCAGAATACCTATGGAGTTATAATTGTCAAATATATGACTTAATGAGGAAATTAAAGTATTTTTAAAGGAGCAGTTTTATTTTATTCAACTTAATTGAGGGATAATTGACAAATAAACTTATAAGATATTCAAAGTATTCATGAGATTTGACATACATATACATTGTGAAAGGATTCCCACCATTGAGTTAGTTAACACATCCTATATAATAAAGAGCTAATATGCTAATTAGACCAAAGAGCAGAACCACCATCTGGGCCACCTTCAAGACGACTTTCCGAATGAAGCCCTGGCTGCGAGGGCCAAGGCAGCAGCCAGGGCAGCTGTGAGGGCCTACCCTTGCACGAATTTCATGCTCAGGCCTCTAG